GACCCTTTAAGTGGTCCTTGAAGAGTCTTACTTTGACATTTAACCCCCAAAACCTTCATTCTAAGTTCGGGAAGTCATTTTATAACTCTAACCCTCACATCAAACTCTACAACTCAATCATAAAGATCTAGAACTAGTTTAATTTACTAATTTCCAGGGTATTACAAAAATTGTTTAATAGCACTGTAAACAGTTACAAGTGATAGAAAAAAGGAAGAAATTCGACCCTTGGCACTTTAGGGACTATACAAAATATTTACAAATATTTAAAAATATGGTTGGATCGGTTTAGAACTAGCATTGCCGACTTAACTCATGACGGACTGTGATGGTGCTCGTGAAGAGCATCATGTCCGTGTGAGTGCTCATGTACATTTCTTAGGTTAGAGAACTAACTTGAGGTTCGTGAGAGGATAAACAGTTTGTATAGGGTCTGACGTACTATAAACCCTTTCGTGAACCTATTGTTGCGATTTCCAGTAGCTCCTCTAAGGCTGTTGGTGATTAAGACGGGCCTTGAGTTTGCTCGTGAAGAGCACCACGCCCTGTGAGGGTACCCATGAAGACCTTCTTACTCCCATATCCTTAGTTCTTTGACCAACTCTTTCCTACACGCACCAACATACAGTGACACTATATTAACAATGAAAAATATGCTAAAATATAATTACCTATTATATTTACAATCATGGGTTGCTTCCCAAGAAGTGCATAATTTAACGTTTCTTGATTACTCAGATTTTATCAAGTTTGCAATCCTCCACTATTTTTACTTCCCCTGGGATTCCTAAGTATGTCTTGTTTCACTAACATTGGATTTGAACCTCTTACATTTGTAATTCTCAAGCTCAATCACACCCGACTGAAATACCTAAGTTATCTTAAATGGCCCAGACCATTTGGATCTCAATTTCCAGGAAATAGATGAAGTTTGGAGTTGAAAAGTATCACTAAGTCACTACAACTGAAAATATTTTTCTCAATGTGTTTATCATCATATGACTTCATTCTTTGCTTATACAGTGCAGACCGTTCATAAGCCCTTAAAGGAATTCTTCCATTTCATTAATCTGATCTAGTTGCAGGTTTGGTGCTTCACTCTAACCGAGGCTCAACTTTTTAGTGCTCAAAGAACCTTATGCTCTAGCTCGACAGACATATAACATGCCTTTCCAAACACCAACTTATATGGAGACATACTAAGGGGTGTCTTGAAAGCTATCCAATATGCCCACAAAACATCATGCAACTTCCTTTCCCAATCTGTCTTGTTGGTATTCACTGTCTTTTCCAATATCTCTTTGATCTCCCGGTTCAATACCTCGACTTGATCACTTGCTTGCGGATGATACAGTGTTGTCATCTTATGTTGTTTAACCCCATATTTGGCCAAAAGTGCACTAAACACTTTATTATATGGGGGCAATAGGACCTTAGTTTAGTTAAGATGTGTCTCTAAGATTTCGGTCATAGTTTAGGGGGTACTTATAAATTTTCCCTTCTTCTTATCTTATTCTTAGAATTCTTTTAGCAATTGGTTTGAGGGCAATGTAACACTCCCAAAGTCCATGGCGTAGTCTAGAGCCTCACATGTTTAACTAAGACTTGAGACACTATTTATAGGACTTAAATAATGTATATAAATCAATTAGGAAGTTTTAGAGTCAAAACGTCAAGAAACGTCGTGACATTCGAAAATTAGTGCAAATTGAGCTAGTAAATGTCCTTAGGTCTTGTGAAGGTTTGGAAGTATTAAATGAAGTATAAAACGTGTACAATCATTTTAAATAGGTAAGATGATGTATATAGGGTCAAAATGTCCAGTTTCGACCCCCCAAGGATCGCCCTAGGGGTCCACGAAGGGACCCTACCCTTGGCCAAAGCAAGTCGCCTAAGGCAGCGATAAATTGCACTGAGATGAAATGATTCCACGTCGCATACATAGTCCACCAAGGACCAAAAGTCTTGGTCCGCATCGCGGACACGTAGAGGACTCCATTATTTGGAAAATTAATTTAGAAAATCTTGCAGGAATAGCTCCGCGATACGAACTTATTTCCCGATGAAAATCTTACATTTAGAATTTAAGTTTGACTTCATTAAATGGTCAACTTAAGTGAGGGGTCTTTGGGTATTTTATGGGAGGATTATTTATTGATTTTCAATTACCTCACATTCACTCACTCAAATCAAAATTTTCATATCAAAACCCAAAAGCTCTCACCTCTCTCTACTTTCTCTCTCTATTCATCCTCCATTGAAGGAAAAAAGAAGTTTGAAGAAGGAGACAAAGTCTCCATGGTTCTTAATCAAATTTTGTGGATAAAGCTTCATTAAGGTATGAGTTCTTCACTCTTGGGATTCCTTTCCCCAATAGGTCCTTTCAAAGTTGAAATCTAAATCACCCAATTCCAACGATTTTTCTCTACAAATGAGTTTTCTTCTAAACTTGAAATTGATGATTGATTATGACGAATTGTGATTACCTATGATTTATTAGTTGTATATTATTCAGTAATTGATGTTGAATTATTGTAATTTTTCTCTTGGATCTTGCTTATGATATGACGGAAAGTGATGAATATATTGATTGTTAGACTTATGTTAACTATTCAATTTCATTCATGGACTGCCTATTGTCGTGTATTTTGGGGATTAGATATAATTCTTGAAGAATTCATAGATGAACCATTTTACCTAACCCTAGTTATGAATTGGATTGGTAGATGATTATGGTCAATGGATTTGATTATGTTATTGTTTAATTCACTATATTATAATGGTGATATTGTGGATTATTGGGCAACTGTGATGGGTTGATGGTAAGATCTTTAAGATGGCTTATAAAGGTTATGTGGTAAGACTTTGTAATCTTAATCCTTTACTTCAATGATGATTGATTGTATTTGATGATGATGTGCAATTGAAGTAGTATATGAGATTAGATTGAGACTAAGATGATATGATTATTATTATGCGTTGGAATGAATAGGATGGTTGTGAGATCTTGATAGGGATATGATCATGCAAGTTTGAGTCTGAATTGATTATGATGATCTCACTTATGATGGTGTAAATGAAAGGTAGTTCTCATTCTATACCTGAAAAGCTAATGACTTGATTATACAAGGGGTTAGTCCATATGACCTACATTATGGTTGATTTTAAGGCATAACAAAAAAGGGACTTTAGCTTAGCATCGAGTGAACTAGTAATGAAAAGTGTCCCTTCCCAAGTAGGTAAGGTAGGTTAACTGTGTTCTCATGATATAGAGATTACAATGCGAATGGCACAAAGATGGTCTCTACAACGTCTCCTTGTTCGTGAACTATGTTGCCCCAATAGGAATACTAGGTAGCGGATCCACCTAGAGGCTATGTACATGTTTGATTCTACCTTGGAAAGTAAATCACCTTCTTTCGATGTAGGGTTTCATGACACCGGATTCCATATTTAGCTCATGAGTGGTCTATATCAGTTAAGGAAATTGTTCTCGAGAGTAAAAGGAATGACTAAATATAAATGAAGATTAGACATTGATTAGGATGACTTGAGGGGTTTACTTAGAATAGGCAGCGGTATGAGAATCTACCTAGACATTGCACAAATTAACTCTAAAGAGAGTCCTAGGAGATGGTCTTATGCATTACGATGTTATGTATTATGAAATGTTGACTTTAAGTGATGATACTCTTATATGATGTTGTCTATATTGATGAACATGTTGTTGGTCTAAATTGTTATATGTGGTAATGACTATCTATTATATATGTTATATGAAGCAAAACATTAATTATGATCTCCTATCTTGTTTACTTGATTGTGTGCGGTTATGAGGCTTTGCATGAGCATTGCACTTGTAGGCTTGAGATGGGATTGTTGGTAAGGATTTTGTATGATATGTTAATATGAGATATTGAATATGTAATGTTGATATGGATTTGTATTGATGTTATGTTTGGTTATGGACATGTTTTATGTTATTGTGATCCTTATATTGTATATTCTCTCTTGTATGTGCACTAAAGACTTTCTAAATGACTTAGCATGTTTTCAAAGAAATAGTCACTTTCATGCATGCTTTCAAATGTTTTGTGTGCATATATCCATGCTTAGTACAAGTGGTTGTACTAACCCATATTTCTATGTTTTTTACAATTATGTAGGTTTTGGCCATTGAGTTCCTAGAAGATTGATTGAAGAAGACTTGGATTTCTTTCACCAAGGGTTGGTAGGTCCTCATGTTCGGGGATGTTACCTTTTCCATATTCTAGCTTTGTAATCGTCTTGTCTAAAGAAATTGTTCTTTTCTTTATCATTTGATACATTGTTGTAAGCCTATATGGCATACTAAAGTTGTAATGGCTAAGTCCAATATTGTACTCGTTTTAGATGGTTTTATGTGAGACGAAGATCTTATTAGACTATCTTATGTATATTGGTTATGTTGTCTAAAAGAGAACCCTATATAAGCTTCCTGTGAGAGGAGTCTATGTAAACTGCCTATACGATATGTGAAAAGTTTAAGTACACTTCACTATGCATATGTAAAAAGTTCTAATTTTTTCGTGTTTTGACCTATGACATGTAATGACGAATGCTACGGGATTGTCTAAGTCCTCTTCGAGGACGAGGACGAGGACGTCAGTTACGTCTAGGGGTGCTCCCCGTATGTCACAGGCAAACTCCAAACTTCCAGCCACGAGTGTACGTGTTTGAGAGTAACAATGGAATCTTGGGGAGTGATCGGCTACAACGATTTGCACCGAAGTCCAATCAAAATCACTTCAAGGCAGTGGCTTGTCACGACACAGAGTTTGTGATAAGCTTTTCAGTTCTTTGTAAATCTTATCCAATATCAATATTATAGTATTTTTCCTAACACCGATTGATGGTGGACGTGCTTAACAACTTGAGATAGTCTCACTTGACTTGAGAATACATCAATGAATTGAAACATTAGAAATTTATATTAAAATACTAGTTGAGGTGTCTTTATGTGCACTATCAAAGCTAAAATGCTTACTTGCCAACTGGGATCTAGTTGAGTGGATTTTTTTAAAATTATTTATAATGCCTTTTATTTTAGTCTAATTGAAGTGGAAAAATATGCAATTGCACATTTACTATCTCGTATAGAAGATACATTATTTATATTTTACTCCCAAAAAAGAAAAGAGATGTTGTAATTTGTTGTTTTAACATTATTACTCATGAGTCTAGATTATTGTAATTTATGTGGTATTAAATATTTATTACTCTCTCCCTCATTTTCCTCTATCATTTTGTTTGATTGAAGATACATATTTTCTCTGCGCCGCTTTGTGAAACTCTTCTTCGTAAGTTGCCCTAAATTTTTCCTCTTAGTAGTTGTATTATTTTTTTTTGAATGTGGTTGAGGTTTTGTATCATTTGATTTGGTTTTAGTTTGTTCTTATTCTTTTATCCATTAAACTTTTAACAAAATCACTTAAAATTAGTCCAACGATGATGAACCTTCTAAATAGTTTAAGAACAAGAGGTTTATTTGGATTTCTTGTGTTTGGGGAAGATCTTATATACAATGAAATAGATTCGAAGAAAGTCATATAGCCAACCTACGAAATTTGAAATTAAGGGAAAATTGATTGAGTAATTGATAATTTTTTTGGGTGATTATCATTGATTTTTAGTTCGGATTAATTAGATACCAATGATACTCCTTTCCTTCTTGAAGAAGACTAGCTTATAATTAAAATAAAAATTCAAAGCTAGATACTTCTCTATGGCAAGAGAGAATTATTTCTTTTTCTTATTTTAACAATTAGTATGCATATGAACCTTTTTTTTTTTTGTAGTTTTTCTATCTCTGTTAGCTATAATTTCTTCTGAACTTTTTAGTGGGACTGTTCTCTTTGCAATTTTGTTTATGTGGAAGTTGGCTTGATGTTGAATTAATTTGATGAATGATCATTGCTGAATAGAAAAGAGGGATTTTTTGTTGTGGGGAGGGGGTTTGACAGCTCGGGCTAATTAGTGGCCTAAAGACAAATAAATCTGAGTTCTAACTTTTAATTTTTTATTTTTAAATGTAAATTTATCTTTTTTTAATTATTTTTTTTAATTTTTCTATGATTTTAAACTGTATGTATATGTGTTTGAAAATATTTTTTAATGGGGGCTTTAAATTTGGGTGACTACGACGGATTCCTCATTTTTGAAAGTTGAGTTGTCCCTGGGCGGGGGTAGGTATAGCTTAAAACGAGGTATCATTTGTCCCGCGTGCATATGTTGTTGCAGTTTGGGGAAGCCTTAGGGTGGTTGAGCACTTTATGGATAGATTTTTCCTTAGGTAATCTCAAGTGTGATATAAGGAAATTTGGTTCAAAATTCTAAGTACTTTAATATGTCCAATTAAATTCCTCTTTTTTCCGTTGGGTGCATTCGATTCTCATAGAAGTACTTTAATCATTTATTCAAAATATATGTGAAAAAGAGAGAGAACAGAAAGTGATGTTCTTTCTAGTAGCTCCAATAAGTTACCATTAAGTTTATTAAATAACACTACTTAATTATCAGTATCAGCTACTTTACATGTATTTAAAATCTTGTAAAATATGAAAGTACTTTCCATACGGTGGTGAAAAAGAAGTAAGTATGTAACAATATTATCTTTATAGATGATAATATACACTAGACATTCAACATGTTGCTTTAAAGATGTTCTTATGTGACACAAGTGTTCTTTATATGTGCTAACCATTGTCTACTAGTGTCACTTTCATGTGCTTTGTGTACAATTTAGTTTTTTCATTCCACAAAAGACATTTCAAAATCTCAACCAATCAGTCTAACACACAACAAAATATTTTTCGTTGCAGCTCAAATGGAGAGTAACAATTCTCACATTGACAACTCGACCTTCAGTGGAAATTCAACCCCTGCCAATGTGCCAAGAGATGTAGGCACAACTGAAAGTATTGTTGGAATCGAGGAACAACGGGCAGCCTACCAAAGACTTTATCATACATATCTTGCTCTATTCCCTACACAAAACGTGATTCCAGTTAAGTTTCTTCACTTAACCAAGGTTGTTTTGTTTATCTTTTTCATGCCTTACTAATTAAATTGTGTTTGTCACTTGATTTTAAACATAATTGTATGCTTTTATTTAATTTAGGTATTTGTTGCTAATATAAAAAAATACCCACTCAGAAAACATTTATTGTTATTTTTCAGTAATTCTTGGTTGGGTTATTTTCAATTGTAAATATTTCAGAAATTGTCAGATGTTCAAACAATATTCAACTCTTAATTATATTTCGAAATCTAATAAATGTTTGATGAGTATATTCAGTTGGGAAACATTTTCCCTATAAATGATACCCCCTTGGCTTAAAAAAGAATGACCTAGTTTGACTTGACATGTATTTTAAGAAAATAAAGTAAACCTTTTAATCATCTAGTCCTAAATTAATATTGTTGTCAAATTTATCAAAATTCCCTTTAATCTAGTGGATTTAAACATTTCACATAGAAAATGGAAATTAAAGTATTGTTCTTTTCATTTTCTTGATGCCTTTGGTATCCTTTTCATTTCCTTGTGAGTTGATTGTTCTAAAAGTGTTGCGAACTTGTATGTTTTTTGTATATTAGATGTTTTTTCTATTTTGTTGGGCAATGAGTCTACTCCTAAATGATTTCAATATTTCAGGAAAGATTTGGAGGCGATGGTCAGGTAATGCTTTGAAAACGCAATAATTTAAAGTTTGATATTTGAATTTTCTTTTAATGGATATGTTATCATGTTACATGGGTTTCTTATATTTTAGGAAATTTTGGAACTCCACGCGCAAATTGCTGCTAGATTAAGATTATTGGCTTTTCATTTAAGCATTAAGGTCCATACATACCAATTGCCCAAGTCAACATGTCTTGATGGCAAGGAGCGTTGCTCCATATGCTTGGTAAGTGACACCTAATTTTAGAACCCCACCCCAAGTATGTAAACTTATTTAAGTTTGGTTCTGACCTTCTCCTTTTATGGGTCATGTTTGTCTTAGGATGACTATTACGATAAGGAAAAACTCATTCAAATCATCTGTGGTCATTTATACCATTTGGATTGTATTAGAGAGTGGATCAAACTCAAGAACTTTTGCCCTATTTGCAAGAGGGATGCATGTGCAAGAATCAATTAAAATTTTCATTGGGGTGGACTAACTAGTGGAGTGACATTGTTAAACTCAAGAGAGTTGAATTAAACCTTAAATTGAGGAACCATTTTAAGTTTGAGAAAGATAATGGTCTTTAAGTTTGAAGTATTTTCTTTCATTTTCAATTATACTAAGTTTTATCTAGACTTTGAAGCTGAGCATAAATTGATACTCATGTTGGTTTGAATTTTCGATATTGAGCGAATTTGGTTTATAATTGATGCTTACTAGAGGTTTTGAAAGCCTCTTGATTCTTCGCTTTGAATGTCTTCCAATTTTTTCATATATAGGAAGTAGGCACTATATTCAACTAAACACCAAAAAGAAAAGTATATATTGTCATTCCAAACCTTCAATAACAAAAATCGCTAGGCTTATTCAAATCTCTAAGCTTCTCGCTTCCATTATCACAATGATAACACAAGAAATCACAAACGCATATATTTAAAGAGAGATCATCATCATAGAACATTTGGGTTAATTAGTGATTTTATAATATATATTAGTGGCCGTTAGTTATTTTCAACTATTATGATTTAGTGATTGTCTTCTTTAGCTATAAAAGTGTTGAGTGGAGGAGCAAGGCTCGAATAACTTGAATCGACAATGCCAATTTATATAGATATCCCATTAGTTGACATAAATATTAGAATATTAACATGATCTAAGATCTTCTTATGTAGTATACACAATAATTAATTCAAGTATTTGCTTCCTTTTAATTATGTTGTCTCCGTGACCATCATCTAAAATGAACAACATCTGTGTTTGTTATTTAAAATAGAGGTCCATCTCTTTCTCATAGGGCGGGTATATTATTTCTGATCAGGTAACTTTTAATCAAAAAATAATTTTATTTCACTAATAAGAGAAAATGACTCGTAAAAAATAATTTTTAAAGAAATAAATATATAGGAAAATTTTAGTTTCAAGGCCCAAGGGTATATGTAGTCTGAAAAGATGGATGAAGAATATCTTCTGATATCAAAATTATGATTGAAAAAATATTAAACTACGAGAGAAATTAAAAAGAATAAAATAAAAATTGATGGGAGTTTTTTTTTTCAAAATCCAAAATTGATTCAGTTGAGAGATTTATGGGGATCGAGAGACTAATAGAGAAAATTAAGTGAGAGCGGAAGAGAGTGAGGTAGTGGAAAGATTTGTGTAAAATGGGAATTGGGTTACTACACGTTCTATTAAAAAAACGTAGGCCCAATTTAACAATTTTCTTAAACAATAACCATTTTCTATAATTAATAATTAAAACTATAGTCACGTAGCATAATTAAGTATTAAATGTTAGCTTAATTATATAATCTTCCCTTATCAAACTATCTAAATCAATAACCTATATTAATAAATCAATCATTTTTTTTATTCAATTATTTTTTCGGATTTAGTTTCAAACAACTCCATTATAGAGCATCCAAAAAAACAGGAAAATTACGCAACAAAGTAAACTTGTACTATTTGATTACTCATCATAACTATAATTTGCTGAAATTACCACTCGCGATTAACATCATACATTAATTACGTGGACTGACTTCGAGTTTGTATAATTAGTCACGTTTGTATATGTATAATTCGACAGAATTTACTAATACATATGTATAATATACAATTATTTAACCTATATACATATACAATTCACCTCTCTCCCGCTCTATGCTCTCTCTTGATCGCCTCTCTCCTTCCTCTCCCAATATCGCTCGCCTCTCTCCTCCCTCTTCCAATCTCGCTTGCTATATATAAAAATGCATATGTATAATATACAATTATATACCACATATAATTCACCTCTCTCCCACTCTCTGCCCTCTCTCGCTTGTCTCTCTCCTCCCTCTCCCAGTGTTGCTCACCTCTCTCTTCTCTCTCCCTCTCTTGCTTGCCAAATATACAAATATATATATATATATATATAATATACAATTATCTAGCTGATATACATATGCAATTCATCTTTCTCCACTCTTCCCCCCCCCCCCCTCTCTTGCCTCTCTCCTCTCTCTTCCAGTCTAGCTCACCTCTCTCATCCCTATAACATGTAGCTACAAATTGTAATTATCAAACTATATTTATGAAAAATAATTAAGCTATTTTTAAATGGGAAAATTGTATATAATAGCAAAACTAATAAACTAAAATAAATGGAATAGCTAGGGTTTGATTTAATTGTGCTCCATAGCAAACGTTAGCTAAAATTTTCCAGCGTCTCTCTCCCAGAAATCTCGCTCGCCACTCTCCATTCTCGCTCGCCTCTCTCGCTTTATACACAGAAGTGTATAATTCTGTTTCTGTTTTGTATAAAGCGAGAGAAAATTGTATATACACATGCAAAAATATATATCTTCATGTTATACACTTAATTATACAATTTACAAACATTTTACTTCAAATATTATAGAGAAAAAGGTCAACGAATTATACAATTGCGAATTATACAATTGCAGTGAAATATAATTTTCTCTAGCTTTAAACAACAGAAGTATATATATTGTGTTTCTGTTTTTGTATAAAGCGAGAGAAAAACATATATCTTCTTGCTATACACTTAATATTGCAGCGATAATAGGTAGTGAATTATATAATTGTGCATTATACAATTGCAGTGAAATAGGATAGCGAATTATACAATTGCAGCGAAATAGGCCAGCGAATTATACACTTGTATATGTATAGCGAATTATACAGTTTTTATGTTTGCTATGGAGCGCAATTATGCAAAGTTTGCTATAGCATACAAATATGAATTTTTTATTTGCTATATGTGAAAGTTGCCCATTTTAAATGGCTATATATGAAAATTCTCCAATAAAGAAGACCCGTTGCAAAACTTCCGCCCATTATACCTTAGTGTGAGACCCAAAACCGCACGGCCCATTTACCCGTTTCTAACATCTCTCTCTTTCTGTTTCTTCTACTACCCTTAAACCCTAAACTCCGTGTGCTGCCATTGTTCACTGGTCCTAAAACCCTAGTTACTACATTGCTGTTCCTTTGCTTTTATTTCAATATCAGTCCAAATTTGCAACTGATTGTAACATATTTCTGCAAAAGTTGTGAACTTTAAGCTCACAATTGAATCATGAAGAACCTGAAAAAGAAGAAAGCTTCAGCTCAAAACACCCAGAAGGGTAGTAAGAAGAGATTTTCAATTGAAAGCGACCCATTTTTCCATGAAGACAACGACTTGAAAAGGCGAAAGAGATTTGGAGATGATGAAGATATAGAGAGCAGTGATGATTCAGAGGACATTTATGGGTCTGATGATGAAGGAGTGGATAGGAATGAGCGGAAGGATGAAGAAGAGGAAGAGGAGGAGGAGACGGCAGCTGAGAAGAGAAAAAGGCTGGCGGAGACTTTTTTGCATAGTATGAGGGAGTCGAAGAGGAAGGAAGAGGAAGAAAGAGAGAGTGAAGAGGAATATGATAGAGAGGAGAGGGAAGCAATGAGAGACTCATGGATGGTAGACATGTTGCAGAAGGAGCAGATGGAGGGCAGTGGTCGTTCCAGAAAAGCTATTGCTTCCAGGTGTGTGATAAATATGGATTGTTATTTCATTTTACCTGGATTTACTCTTTTCTGGCCTGGATAGCTGTAATTGCTATTGCTTCCAGATGTATTTTAGTAATTCATGTAATTGCTGGATTTTTGGGTTCCCAAGGGGATGGTGGTGTGGTTAGGTATGTATGCAAGTAACAACTTAGAGGTCATTTGGTTTAGGGACGAGCTATGCAGGGGTTATATGTGGAGTGATTAGTAATGCAATGATAAAAATGTTTGGATTGTAATGTAGGGCATGTATAATGTAAAGATTATGCCTTTTTGAATGTTTAGTTTCATATATTACATATTACTAGTGTACAGTGTATAACTAAAATATTTGTTATACTTTTTTAACAAAATAAACATTTGCTTGTTATAATGTTGATTTTTAGGTGGAGATTCACCTCCTTAAATCCCAACCAAACATTGTATAATTTATACTAATTTTAGTGAGATTGTATGTCCTACAATCTAAACTAAATGGCCCATGTTTGAATCCCATGCACAAGCTGATCTAGACTCCATTATCACTGAGCGAATGAATTGAATCAGTTGATTATTTTCAGTGGTCAACCAAATTGAGTAGAAGCGCCATGAATAGCCCATCTTTGTTTCTGTTTTAATGTTAGAAGTGTTGTGCTTGCACATAGGCTATAGCTGAGGTTCTTTTGAGTTGAAAGTTGCTACTTCATTATCTACTATCTAGATAATCAAATAATTGGTACGTATGCTGTTGTGTTCCAGTAAAACCATGATAGGAGATATTGTTCCATTCTTGCAAGTGGTTAAATAAAAAAGGACATAGGTTTTACTGTTTTAGATAGTTATTGAGTTGTACCATTATTCATTCTCCAGGATTCAAAAACCCACCGAGGGATTTCACCTTTTAGTGAAACATCGACAGTCCGTAACTGCTGTGACTTTATCTGAGGATGACTTAAAGGGATTTTCATCTTCTAAAGATGGCACTATTGTTTGCTGGGACGTGGACAGTGGAAAGACAGAAAAGTATGCATGGCCTACTGATGAAGCTCTGAAGTCACATGGTGCAAAGGACCCACAAGGTCGAGCAACAAAACATAGTAAGAATGTTTTAGCTTTGGCTGTCAGCTCTGATGGACGCTATTTGGCAAGTGGAGGCTTAGATCGTCACGTTCATTTGTGGGACATCCGAACACGGCAGCATATTAAGGTACCATGATCAACATTAGATTCTGACTCTCTCTCTCTCTCTCCCCCTCTCTCTCTCTCTCTTATTTCAAATTAAATCTGTTGAGCTAGATGATAGCTTGGAACTCGTGTTGGTCAGAGTTCTCTTTGCAAGTGCAACAAGCACTCAAGTGACTTAGTTGGCATTTCCATTGCAAGTTCAATTTTTTTTGGAGCTATTTGCACTCTTCAAATATGTAAGAGGCTAATTCATTGATTCTTTATTTAAACTCTTCATTGCTACTCTAATATGAAGATGATTCTTTTACAGGCATTCCCTGGTCATAAGGGACCTGTTTCATGTTTGACATTCAGACAAGGATCTTCTGAACTGTTTTCGGGGTCGTTTGATCGATCCATCAAGATATGGAATGTGGAAGATAGAGCTTATGTAAATACTTTATTTGGTCATCAAAGTGAAGTTCTAACCATTGATTCTTTGAGGAAAGAAAGGGTCTTGACAGTTGGACGAGACCGAACCATGCACTTATGGAAGGTAGTTCATGGCCTTTCATCTGCTTTCAGGAATTCTTTTTCCTAGCTATGTATCTGTGTAGCGAAAGTAACTCTGGTTGTTTCATAAGTATTCAATGATTTGTTTCCATATGAGGAATTTAAACGAAGATTCGCGCCTTGTTGACAAAGAAGTCCTTCTCATGACAGGTGTATTTTTCCAGTAAAAGGCATAATTAGTTGAGTTGTCATCCACCATGTCCTTCCTTAGTGCCTGAGGTCTGAGCATTATCCTGATCCAAGAGTTTTTGTTTTCAAAACTCCTTTCAAGATTCCTTGAAGGTTGCTCTAGCAGTATTACCGGGTCTCTGATGTCAGATAACTTCAATTTGAAAAGCGAATAGTAAAAATGTTAGATTGATGTATTTTAAAAAGAACATTATATTCTTGAATATTGAGTTTGAGGATGTCCAACTAAAAAGGAACTAAGGCATGTAAATTCGGTTAACCCTACTTTTAGGATTTGCAATTTGTCATATTTAAGTTGGTGAATCCTTTTTTTTATGAAGTTGTAAGAATAGCCAGACAAAACATTCTTGCTTCCTTACTCCTAGCTTCAATGGGATGTTAGAAAATCTTTATGAAGATTATATGTTGGTTATAGGGTGTGGAATGTGGAGGAATATCATGAAGGGATGGTTAGATTTTTATGAAATATGAGATTCCGAGTATGTCATAATACAGTATCATGTCAAAGGAGGCAGTAGTCCAGCAAATTAGGTGGACACAAGTGGCAGAGATGGTTTGGGATTTGAGATTCAGGAGGGGTTTCCAGAACAGGGAAGTGAATGAATTTTAGGGGTTGCTAGCTTTACTACATCAACACTGTGAGCGAGTTGAAAGACTCGATACAGTGAGATGGAAATTGGGGAACAAATGTGTGTTTTAAGTCAAGTCCTTGAGAAGCTTTTGGTGAGGGTGAAGGAGGCTTTTTCTGTCAAGTCAATTCGGATTCCTAAGGTGCTGAGGTAGGTGTGCTTTTTCTCATGGTTAGCTTCTGGGGTGGTTTTGAGGGTGGAAGTCTTTAAGAGAAGGAAGGTTGTGTGTATCAGCTGTGGTACTTATGCAAGGAGGCGGCGAAGTTGTAGATCATCTTCTACTATACTGCAGCGTAGCAATGAGGGTGGGATATGTTTAGTTGATTTGGTATACCTTGGGTGATGCCAAGGTCTGTGAAGACTGAAGAAACTGTTGTTTTGCTGGAAAGCTTGAAAAAGCTGGATAAAGAGCAGGACATGGAATGTTGCCCTCTGGCTTTGATGTGGGTCATTTGGAGATGGCCTTTTGATTTATGAAATGAAACTGTTTTACCTGATAAAAAATGGTGTTGCTGAGCCATTTCTTCTGAGACTCTTGTGTAGTTGTGCTACTAAGGTTGTAGAATAGCGAAAGAAGTACTCTTGCTTGCTTGCTCCCAGATTCTATGGGATGTTAGAAAATCTTTAGAAAGATTATATGTTCAGGTTATGGGTGTGGCTGATCTATTCTTCTGAGAGTTGTCTTTTGCTACTATGAAGTTGCCTTGGGGATCTATTTTTCTGTTTTAAACACGATTACTTAATTTCTTTTTAGTGTATTATGGTTCACCACTGTGGTCATCATAGATATATCCTTGAAGTTCCATAAGCGAAAGTTAACTTGAGAGGGTTCTATGACTAGATTCCCCTCGCAAGGTTCTTTCTTGAATTAATAAGAACAAATCTTGAAGTGTCTTTGTTTACAAGTTAAATTCTTTTTACAATTTTTACTTTTCTAATGCATCCACAGATAGTTCTGACTCTTGATGATTTTCGTTACCACTTTGCCTCCCTCTATCCTGCCAATAGGTTCCAGAGGAATCTCAATTGATATTTCGTGCTCCAGCAACTTCCCTTGAATGCTGTTGTTTCATCAATAATGATGAGTTTCTATCTGGTTCTGATGATGGAAGTATTGAGCACTGGAACGTAACAAGGAAGAAGCCTGTCCACATTGTAAAAAATGCACATGCTTCATTGCAATCAGTGGGAATTGAACAGAGCAATGGGGCCCTATCAAATGGCCACATGGGTAAGCTTTCATTTTGTGTTTTTCTGTTATCTCTCTCCTATGATAGAATTCTTTTAGTTGTATTTTCAATATCGATATTTTGCTTCAATATGAATTCTTTCACCAAAAGTTAATTGAAAATCTAAATGTGTTTCTTGCAGAAAATGGCACACTTAATCCTCAGTGTCATTCCTCATCAGCACTCTCTTGGGTTAGTGCGCTGACAGTCTGCAGAAATAGTGATCTTGCAGCATCAGGAGCTGGCAACGGGTCCGTTCAATTGTGGACTATTGAAAATGAATCAAAAGGCATCTCTCCATTGTTTGAGCTCCCAGTGGTAAGGAATCTATCAGTGTGTACCCATATGTTTTGTTGGAACTTCTTTGGATTTAGTTTGGTAAACTAGGAGTCTGTGACTTAATTATACCCAGGAGTAGAGGGGATATTGTGGGTGAGGTGTACTGGATTTTGTGGCTCACATAACATCTGCTAGTATTACAAAGGCGGAAAATATTGTGTTATAAAGGCATGATGGGCTACCAACACTTTACAGGTCTAGTGACATGTAAACCCCACAACATTATGTTTCGACTCAATAGAAAAATGATAACTCTGCAGGGGTTTTAAGTTGGCTGTAAGAATGCAGAACTGGTATGAGTTTAGACTGTTCAGTATTTTATTCAAATCTATGGCTGTTCGTCCAAGCATGCCGAAAATGGGCAAGTCGAAATGTGCTGCCAATTCTTGTTCTTCTTCTCTTTTTTCCAAGCAAGTGCCAACTAAAACAAAATTCTGCCATTCCCAACATAGTTCATCTGAATATCAGATTAGTTTTATCAGTCCAATCACACTGAAGCTTATTCTGGAAAAAAATGAAGAGCTATTAACAAGATCATTTTTTAAAAGGTATTGTTAATGTTCAATTAGCACTAAGAAAGTGCAGATCTGTACTGGTATACAAGGCAAAGAGCATAGTTAGTCAATTACCATTTCTTTTCTTTTTTTTTCACCAAAAGAGAAAAACATGTATGCAATTTAACTTGATCTTCTGGATAGGATTGACTCTGCCTTTAGTATCCTTGCATCCCTTTCTTTCTGCTATACATGCAGGGATTGCGTTCCACCACCATTTGTTCTGCCTCTTTGAATTCCTTTGCTGCACCAGCATCTTAGAATGTCCATTGGTATCCCTAGGTATCATCCATTTTAGACCCACCATATATAAGAAAAGCTGCCAGGATATTTTCTAAAAAATTATGCCATGGTTGGTCTGTTATTGGACAATGAAGGAATAAATGGCTAACTGTTTCTGGGTTCCTCCGACAGAAAAATTCACCCAGAACACAGCTGAAAACCACTTTTCTGCCAATTTTCTTGTGTCAAGCACGATTCTTTCTCCACCAATCAGGAGAAGCATGCAAATTTCATTTGTATATCCACTTCCCAGATCTGTTTCCATGGCCAACATACAACATAGTGACTGTTGCACACACCTGTAGTGAGACAAGTGTATTATGATTTTACTGGGATATTGAATTGACATAGTCTCCTTTCCCTGCCAAAAAATGTGACAGTATATCAATTCTATCCACAATCTCCCTAATTCTCCCTAACTATCACAAAGGGGTTGACCTAGATATTAAAGATCTGGAGTGGAAAAAGAAGAAGAGATGACTGTTTCAAAACAAGAGAAAAAGAGCTGGAGTAACAGCCTTAGGATCAAGAATAAAATCTCAGCAGAGGTCAGATTTGGTGAATCATCCCATTCTACAAGTCTTGGTTGGATTAGTTGAGGTGCAAGCACAAGGTTGTTTGGAGAAACATTTTCTGAAAAAGGGGTCTCTTACTATCATCTCCTTTGTAATACAGTCTGACCTTTTTTTATCAGCAAACAAGACAAATCCGTGAGTTTAAAGTAAAGTATTCAACACTTATATTCTTAACTCATTGGCATTAGCACTGGTTTTAAACTAAAGTTCCCTCTGGATATGTAGAACAAATAGAGCTTTTAAAAGGTAACTGACTTCAGCAGCTGTCAACAATGTTTTTTTTTTTTTTTTTATGATAAGGAAAACCCTCAGCCGCTACCCTTTGGGTGCGCACAGGGTAAAACCCCCGCTCCTATGTAATAGCTCGCAAACCACATAGGAGAGGTAACCCGTACTAGGCAAGCCTGGTGCGACGAGCTCAACCCAGAAGGCAAACCCCTTGCTTTTGTTGACAAGGGGTTTCGAACTTGAGAGTTGAGACCTCCAACATGGAAGTCTCAAGCTCGAAACACTGGGCCACCCCGAAGGGTCACAATGTTGTTTGTAGATTGCCTAGTTAGTTTGCATTATCTATGTTCAAGTTGAGTTCTTTGACATCTTAAATCAAAGTCAATCTTCCAGTTAGTTGTTTGATGTGAATATAAAGTAACCCTTTATCTTACAATGAATTTCTTAAGCAGTTAACCATATATGAACTCTGCTAAACGTTACAAGTTCCCCCACCCCCACATCGTATGTCGGAAAAGGATATATCCTCACCATAGGAATAAAGGATTGCGGTACTCTACCTTTTGGGTTACCCTTGTATAGTGCCAGCCTTTGGTCATGCTTGTGAATGAAAATACTTTTACTTGATTAAAAAAAGAATGAAGGTCTGCATTCTTGAAGATTTCTTAATAGCAAGATATTTTTTTACCTATCAATAGAAACAAAAAAAGTTTAACGTTCTTGCTTATCACGGTTGTTCATGCACTTAATAGTAAACATATATTGGCGTGTCTTTATCCTTGCTCACTGTTCTTGATGCTCAATGAAATTGGCAAATGAGATTAAGCGTGCTCAAGTCATTGGGCTTTATTATAAGCAATATTTCCGGGGCTATTTGAATGCTGCTTGTGCCTTGTAGACTAATGTTGCTTCTTTAGAACAATGCAATGCTGATATGTTCATTGTTTTAATGCAGGCTGGATTTATAAATTCCTTAGTTTTTTCAAAATCAGGACAGTTCTTGGTTGCTGCAGTAGGGCAGGTGAATGGTTCTATCTCTATTTTTATGTTTCAATGTTTTCCAACTTTGCAGAACAGATCCAAAAGATTTAATTTCTTCCATATTTGTTTGAATTGATGATCCATCTTCTGGATACAATTGTATAATACATCACTCAACAATTTTTTGCTTGGCCAATTCTTTTTGACTGTGATCAGTGTCCTCTTAGAACTATCGGTATTTGAGATGACAAGTTAATTCTTTTATTGACGGATTAGAATTTTTTTTTGGGATGATTAAGTTATAGTTTCTTAGTATGATTTCCTGTCTTTGCCGTTCCTTGTTTGGACGTTTTCAGTAAAAGTCTTAATTCTTCTTCGTCCTTCAAAGAACCAAATCTTTTTCCTTTTTTAGTTTTTCACGAAGTTATCATTTCTTCTGCTGTGTTCTATCCTTGAGTATGTTCAAAAGGTTTGCTAACATGTGCCTACGTGAAACTTGAAATTTGATTATTATGATGGTAGCAAGATTCCCTCCCTTGTTTGCACAAAGATTATTTAGAACTTCTTAGGGTATGGGGAACAGAGTGTGGAAATGATAAGAACATTTTGAGTTGGTTGCAGAAAGCTAGCATAGATATATGGCACATTTTTGGAGTTGAAAGTGACTACTTTTTCTCCCTTGTAGATGAAAGAACATTTAGTTCCATATCCAAAAAGCTTCTTAGATATAGGCGTAACTGTATCTGTGGACCAAGACTCGTCTGGGTAGAAAATACTATGTTTTGAGTCAGACTTGGGTTATTGATCTGAGTACCTTATTTTGTAATGAACATGGTTTCCTGATGATGTGCAAAATATCATCCAATATTCTCTAGCACAGGGATTCATTGAATTCACACCTGAAGCATCTTTAATAGTCCATATATTGCTATTTTATCTCATGCACCATCATCTGCTCTGATATGCAGGAACCTCGCCTAGGAAGGTGGGGGCGTATTGCTGATGTTCGAAATGGAGTTTTTGTGCATCCTTTGAAGCATTCGTGATACTGAGCTTGTTGGTCATTGTCCACTTCGGCTCATGCTAAAAGGAGGAATAGCCTTCTCTGTACTTTCTTGTGAGGTCAATATTTATTTTTATGTTGGCAAAAATTTTGATATATTTTATTCGCTCTTTTCACCTTTGTTCATATTAATTCAGCTACGTAATAGAGAAATACAGAACAATTTTAGTGTATTAATTGAAATTCAAATGATTTCAGTGAGTTTGAAGGTTTTACTTAATACTTCTCAAGAAACAACAATACACCCATTATAGTCTCATAAAATGAGGTTTGTGGAGTGTAGAATGTATGCAGATTTTACTGTAGCTCATGTCTTCGCAAATGTAAAGGACAGAATCTTTAAGACCTCTTTCCTCAATAGAGAAGTTTTCTTTGTCGTCACATATTCATTTGGAAAAAGTGCAAAGTGAAAAAAGTTGTCTTCATTTGCAATGTACAGGTGAACATCATCAATTGTATCAAGGGAATCATGGAAATGTTGCCAAGATGGCTTTTGGTATTCATTGGTCCCCCTGCTAGAATGACCAAAAAAATAATGCATGTATGAATTGATGCCCTTACAAGAGGCCAAAGCATAATAATGACCTGGTTGGTCATAAGAAATAATATCCACTTTGCAATGAAGTTGTATTCAAAATAACATTTTCATGTGTCGTAGCTTTTGTGGGTCGCGTTATCTTGTAGTTGTTGATGGTGAGATGTGGTTGGTATTTTTTGAAACTAATTGAGGTACTTGAAAGTTGATTCAGCTTCACGATTGTAAAAATAAAATATTAACCTTTTCTCAAATAAATTTTCTTTTATTTAAGAATCAATGTTTTGATCAAAATAATAAAATGAAAAATATTTAAAATCTTAAATGCAATTAATCACTAATTTATTTCCTATTTGCAAGATTGGAAAATTTTCAGACCTATTTGCAGGAACTTTTAGTTTGAAATATTTTCAAAAATTTGGTCTCATTAGATTTTTGTGGCTATATAGAAACGCACTAGCTCAAATTATCGTCAATTGTATCATTGTAAGTGTAACTGTTATTCAAAAATTATAAATTGTATTAATCTTTTCTTTTTGATAGTTATAATATTCAGTCATGTATCTCGATTAATTTTACGAGATATCATTAATATCTATCCATACAAATATGCACCAAGGCTTTGCATATACGAGGAAAAAAAGCACCTAATATTTTTCTCATACAATTTTTCTTTTCTACCAATTATCATACATTTTTATCCAAATACACCAACCATGCATAATCATAATTCTAATTAACAATCACAAATTCCTTCTAACAAGTTATGAACATATATTGGACGAAAAAGCATTCAATTATGAACACATACACTTTTCATCAATTAAATCAAATCTTATCGTAATAAATACAACTTACCTTCTTTTATGATATAAATAAACATTTCGAATTATCAAAAAAAAAAATTATCTTCAAAAATATTCAAGCAAAGTTATCCTTTCTCAAATAAAAATATTTGTTTTGACATTTTCTACCTCTTGATCATACTATTATTATTATTATTATTTTATTCATCTATCTAACAAATTTAAATTTCGTCTTTTTTCAAGTAAAAAATGAAAAAGTATTAATTTAATATTTTTTTTTAATCATACATTTGATAAAATTTATTTCGTGGCTTCTTTTTGACATTTTCTCCCTCTCGATTATACTATAAGGAATTTTATTTTAAAAAATAAATTCACCGATCCAACTAATTTAAATTCCGCCCGAAAAAATTTGATAATAGGTAATAATAAAATTTGTTTTGTGGCTTCTTTTTTCTTCTCAAAGGTCCCCAAAAAATACAGCAAGGAAAAAAAATGCTTCTTTCCACCGTCTCACAATTGGTGCTAAGTATAATTCTTGATAACAATTGAACCGAATCCAATCTTATCAAAGACTGCTCCCCACCTTTTTCTAGGGCTTCCTGGGTTCAAGATCATTGTTGGGGTTGTTTTCTTTTTGTTCCTAGATCCAAATTGTTGAAAATTCTCTTCTGGGTCGGTTCTTGATTCTGAAAAAATGGCTATGTTTTGGCGTATGGCTGGCCTCTCCACTGCTTCTCCAGTAACCCCTTTTATTCCCTGACTCATATTTTTATACTTTTTTGTGAAAGTTTATGTACGATTTGAATGTTTGGGGTGCTATATCATCTAGTGTTTATTTATTGGAATTGTATTGGGTGGTTTGTTTTTTAAGAATTTTGATTAATGCAAATGGGTTTTTGTTGAATTTCTTGTTATGCATGTTGTTTTGTGTTTTAGCAGTCTTAATTTTGAATTCAGAATTGTGTAAGGGAAGATTGGTAATGTGATTGTTCTGGACTTTTATAGTGGGGAGTACTTTTTTGGACTGAATTTCTAGTGGAAGTTAATGTTTTGGGGGTCTGGTGTTTACTTCTTATATTCAGATTGTCTTAATTATGCAACTCAAAGAGACTGAGTGTTAAATTCCTTATTGAAAGAGGGTAAAATGAAGAGAGTTGAGTGTTAGATGGACTTGGATGATGGTGGCATTTTTAAAGATATTTTTTGGGTTAATTTTTAGAGCAATGGAACAGTGGCAGAGGAGAAGTTTATGATGGACTGGTGGGCCTTATGATTGGATCTAATTTCTTGAACAAATAGCTGTGGTTTGATGAATTATACATCTTTATAACTGCTAATTGAAGAAAATAGTACCAATGAAGTTCCTGTCTATTAGGTCCTCAATGTTGAACCGCAATTCTACTTTGTGCAGCATTGTGGAATTTTTCGAGGAATGTACTTTTTGTAACTTGCTTTTTGTCTGAACTAAGTGCTAGATTATGTTGCAAATTTTAAGCTATTCTGCTTTCTAGATTGACATCAACGAAGTAAATGATATCTCTTGGTAAAATTATGTTCTTCCCAATGCACTATTTCACTTCAATTCTTATGCCACATACTTGGGCAATGTACCTTTTGCCCATACTAGACACCTTTTCTAAGCATGCCCCGGTAGCCTTTCATTTGGAATTTGTTGTTTTTATGGAATTTAGAGGAGCTGATCCGGGGAATGGAAATCCATTTCTTTGTACCACATACATAGGCCATTTCAAGTCCTATGCCATATACTTGGGCAATTTACCCTTTTCCCATCCTAGACACCTTTTCTAAGCATCTCCAGATAGCCTTTCATTAAGAAGTTGGTTGTTTTTATGGAAGTTAGAGGAGCAGATTCCAGGAATGGAAGTCCATTTGATCGTGCTCTGAAACTTTAAGCCATATAATTGTACTAAATAGGTACAATATATATTTTTCCCCTTTACCCAAGAGAATTCCCTGAGGATCAGTGGCGCACAGTTAGAAACTTGGTGGATAACCCCCTTCTTTTTTACACTTAATACCAGACTTTTGTCTCTAGAGGGTTCAAAACTTGTTATGTGTGCCTAAACCACACATAAAATATAACACCGATAGTATAAGATATCTAACACCTATTTGTTGACTCAATTGTTTGCTAGCTTATTTAATGGGCTAACTTGATAAAGGCTTAACTAATTGAATAATGATGTGACACAATGGCTATGAGTTTTTTTTTGGGGGGGGGGGGGTAAAGGATAAATATGGAATTTTGGAACGAGGTGGAGAACTAGAGACATCACTTTGCCTTTCAGGCGTTGTTTAATTTTGGGGAAATAGATGGCGCGGGGATGACACTTTGAAAGATGATTTCCAGTGTCTCTATAGAATTTCTTGCCAGAGAGATAGTTCAACAAATTAGGGGGACATAGGCGGAGAGACTTTTTGGGACTTGAGCTTTAGAAGGATGTTAAATGATTGGGAAGTATCAATTGTAATTTTAATTGTCTAAAATAATAAAATGATTGGGGAGTAGGTGAGCTCCAAAGATTGTTAGTCTTAGTACATAGGCAAGACAACCCTATTGATAAGCTTGATGCATGGTGGTAGAGATTTAAGGGAAAATGGCATGTTTATTGTGAAGACTTTCTATGAGAATCTATTGCTTAGGGAGGAGCAAGTGTTTCCATGTAATGCAATATGGATCCCAAAGGCACCAAGGAAGGTGTGCTTTTCACTTGGTTAGCCATAAGAGGCTCGATTTTACAATAAAGAACTTAAAAAAAGCAGAAGATTGTATTCATCGGCTGGTGTTACATCTGCAAGGAGGCGGGTGAGGATGTGGATCATCTTCTCCTACATTGCAGTTTGACAATGAGTGTATGGTGGGATATGTTTAGGTGGTTTGGCGCTCCATGGTTATGGAAAAAATGGTGAAAGAATTGATGTTCAGTTGGAAGAGTGGGAGGAGAAGAAGACGAAGGGATGAAATATGGTGCAACTTGCATAATGTGGGTTGTCTGGAGAGAGAAGAATAAAAGAGCTTTTGAAGGTGTAGAGTCGAGTTCCCCTCAAAGTATCATTCATTCCCTTATTTTATTTTGGTGCACTCAGAAAGTCCCCTATTGTGTAGACGATTGGGTGGAGTTTTTAGAGATTCAGTTGATTGTGTAGATTCTTTACCTTTTGGTATACCACTTGTGTATGGTCATTTTATGGCCTTGTTTATTATATGAAATATGTTTACTTGATCAAAAAGATGATGTGACACAAAGGGATGGTTTCATGATGATAATGTAGAGTGAACATGTCAGTTAACTGGACTAATGTAGATTGTTGACATAACAGTTAAATTGACATGTACTGTTCCCTAAAAAGCAGTTGTAGAGTGCTGATTTTACATGTTAGCTACGGGGACAAATGGATCTTCTTCTAGACAATGTGGATGTGTAGTCACTTTATATTACACTGGAAGGATACAGGGTTTCACCACAGCAATCAGTGTCATCTAGATGGTTAAAAGAGACGAAAATAATTGAATTATTAGGAAAGAAGAAAAAACTTTTTCTGTGCTCATGACCTATGGCAAGTCTACTAAATTGACATGTACTGTTCCCTAACAAGCAGTTGAGAGTTTCTGATATGAAGGATAAGGAGGAGACAAAAAAGAGAACTTTTCAAAGATTTTAGTAACAACGTAGGGACTCCATGTATAGTAGTTTGTCCTTTGGAAAACACAAGGTTCTTTATTAAATTGGACCTTGCTAGTGTTATTTAAACAGTAGGTAGGCAGTGAATGTATGACAACTATCTCTCAAGCACATCTTTAGTTCCAATCTCAATAATTAAATTGAATATTCTTCATCATATATTATGGAATTTAAAAATATTCTGCAACTTTTGCTTTGGAGTATTTCAGAAATATTCTTCTACATAAATTTTATGGATGCAAGCGCAAATTAATATTTGATTTCATTACTTCTCGGTTTTCAATATTGCTTACTCCAAAGCTTTGTATCAGTGTTCAATTGAATATTGATGTTGTTTCTCAATAAATAATGTGTGTGGATATTTTATAATAAAAATAATGTGCATAGATTTATAGGATACACTTACTATTTTCAGGTGGAGACAATTTTGGATAAGGAAAATTTTGCACTGGATGAGCTCTTGGACGAGGATGAAATAATTCAAGAATGTAAAGCTCTTAATGGACGCCTTATTAACTTGTAAGCACCTTATTCGCTTGGTATGCTAGATATAAGTTGTAATAAAATCAAGTTCTATTAATCTTGGATGTGATGTACAAACTACAAAGTATATCCCAACCATTGATGTTTCATGGAAAATCCATTTAAAGTAAATATCTTTTATTGTGAAAAGAAAAGTCTGGATTTGCTGCTGTATGATGAGGTTTATCTGAGGGAGTCTAGTGATGCATGCGTGCATTTGAAGCTTTATTTACGGTTTAAAATTGGCTAGTCTGGATTTAGTAAGAACAAGTGGTTAACTTTGTAATTCTGGTATGTTAATTAGGACTACAACAATTTTAGTGTGCACCAAATAAACATGCCAAGTTATCCTTCTTGAACACAATTTTTTGTTTTTTGTTTTTGTGGGTAGGGTGGGGGTGTTGGTGGGCTGAGGCAGTGCTTGTATTTTAACAAAACTTAGTTTTGTTTCACTATAGACTGTAAAGATCAGTGTTCTTACGAGTTATCAATTAAATGGTGAAGCAATGGGCTTCATAAAAGTGTGCACTTGAAACAATGACAAGCAATGTGATCCCAATGCGAAGTAGTCTCGGTTATTTGAATCTCAACTTTGAATAGTCGGATTAATATTAGCGTTATTGTTTATTGGATTGTGTAATCAGTTATTTTAATTGCATTCTGATCATTATTTTACTAAATTCATGTAATTTTGGTGATCTTTTTAATGTTGTGAATTCTGAGTTTTACTTCAAAGAAGCATATGCTTCACTTCCAGTATTTTGCTTTAAGCATCATGGACCTTGTCGCTATTTTTTTTCGCTTTTGCTTTTTAAAATACGAGTAAACCCTTCGGGGTGACCCAGTGGTTTGAGCTGGGACTTCCATGTTGGAGGTCACAAGTTCGAAACCCCTTGCCAACGAAAGCAAGGGGTTTGCCTTCTGGGTAGAGCTCGTCACACCAGGCTTGCCTAGTGCGGGTAACCTCTCCTATGTGGTCTGCGAACTATCGCATAGGAGCGGGGTTTTACCCTTTGCGCCCCCAAAAGGGTGGCGGCTGCGGGTTTTCCTTGTCGTCAAAAATAAAAATAAAAATACGAGTAAGATATTTTTGTTTGTTTAGACAATATGGAAGAAGTATCATGTGATGACAGGCTTCTATTTTGTAACTGTCTAACTTTGGGGGACTACCCAGTTTGGTATAGAATACCTGCTAATACATAGAATGTCACCATTATAAAAATGGTAATATTATGGAACTTCTGGTGCCATCTCTGCACAAAATTTTTCTTCTTGTAGGATTTAATGGTCATTTCTTGGAAGAACCTGTCAAAAAAGGAAGTCATTCCTTGGAAGAAACTGATCATATTATGCTTTTCTTTCTGACAGTCTGCGAGAAAGAGCTCAAGTTGAACAACTTGTCAGGTACATAGTGGAAGAGGCTCCAGAAGATGCAGAGAAGAAACGAACTTTTAAGTGAGTGTCTGACTGGTGCTGGAAAGTTATTTACATTTCATATGTTATAGGCTCTGAATATTTCTTTGGATGAAAATATGAGTTCTCTTTTTCCTTGACCCCAGTGCATGTATGAAAAGATATCTTGTTTTACTGTGCCACAGGTTTCCTTTTATTGCTTGTGAAATCTTTACATGCGAGGTGGACATAATTCTTAAAGCATTGGTTGAGAATGAGGAGGTATTCACTCTTCTTTTTTTGTCATATATCTTTATTCTGCCTTTGTACTATATGCTCAGTTCCTTGAATATTGTTTATATAAATTGGCTTTGTCATTTTGGATGTCAGCTAATGAACCTGCTATTCTCATTTTTGGAACCTGAGCACACACATAGTACTCTGTTGGCCGGTTACTTCAGCAAGGTATCATTGACTACTAGATACATAAGTGTGAATTATGCTTCACTTAGCTATGTATTCCTTTGTTCATATCTCTAAATATATTTAACTGGAAGGGGAGTGGTTAATAAGTTTGCAAGGTTGATTCCTTTACTTATTGGGGAAAAAGTTTGCAAGGTTGACAACTTCTCTGTTGGCGGTACCACGTTTTAGTTTTGAAAAAAAAACTTCTCTTTGAAAAACTATGTTTATTTTTCAATTTTATCCTGTCTAGTTTCTATCGTTTTGCTCCTTTTTCGACCAAAAGCAAGGTGATAGTTGCATGCTAGATCTTCTGTAAGACTGAATGAAGGACTTTACTTGCTGGATTTTAGGTGAAAACAATACTGCATTAATATTTTCTGGAAGTACTTCCATTTTTTAAGGTTTATTTCTTCTGTGAACTGTTATTATGATTTTCAGTTTCTACACTGTACTTGATGCCCAAGTTTCTTATTTTAGGTTGTCATATGCTTGTTGCTGCGGAAAACATCAGCTTTTATGAACTACGTACAAGTAAGTCTGCTGCTTCTTATTAGCTATCACGATTGATTTGCATTACAAAAACACACATATAGGAAATGATTGGATGTTTATGTCAGTCGAGGTAAAGCTGGTCTATGGATGTCCGAATGAAACCTTGCTCCCTTTTAGTCTCCAATCCATTTCTTTTATGTTCTTTAAGATGGTGGAGAGTGTTCGCCTGTTGTGTCTTGTTTATATCTTCTTTGGTTTGAGATGCCATTTCTTGTGCGAGTAACTGGTATGGTCTACCAATAAATTCTTTATGTATTTATGTATCAATCATCTGGCTACTTTTTTAAAAATTTATTGTCCCTTGTAAAATGGTGAAACATTGATATCTACCGCCTCTTAATGCTTTCAATAAAAAGTCAAGCACAGTCAAGCTAATAATTATGGTTTATTCTCTTGTAGGCTCATCAAGATATTATCAAGAAGTTGGTTGATCTCATTGGAATTACATCCATCATGGAGGTTTGTAGTTTTTCAAATAGTTTAAGGCATGTTTTGTTTGTTTAGCATGACTAAATCCAGAAGTTCCAATGCTTTTGATTTAAGGTGTTAATCCGCCTAATTGGCACCGATGAACATTTGTATAGCAACTTCTCGGAGAACATGCAGTGGTTGGAAGATACAAATGTGCTGGAGATGATCGTTGATAAGTTTAGCTCATCAGTATGTCATTTTCCTGAATTTATTTACTAACATTCTAATTTTCCCAGTCATTAGACATTACATGATTTGTGTGTTTCGATATCTAACCTGGCTTGGGGAACTAAGATAGTACTGCATTCCTGCTTTATGCTGCCATTCTGAAAAAAGGAATTACTGCATGCCTGATGATAGCTTTCTAGGCGACCAAGGTGCTGGGGCTGATGAGAAGGTTATATTTTATCGATTTAAATGTTAAACATAATGTGCTCAGTAGGGATGGATCAAATATTGATGGTCTGGTGTTCATCTAATTTAGTTAGTGACTGAGTACCCTACAAATCTTGTAATTGCTGGTGTAGGTTACTATGGTAATGGAATTCACTGTAATTGCAGGATTGCCCTGAAGTGCATGCTAATGCAGCAGAAACTTTGTGTGCCATTACTCGATATGCTCCTCCTGGGATTGCTGCCAAAATCTCTAGCCCTAGGTGTTCTAATATTCTGAATCTTCATTAATTTTGGATTTTGATTGAAGCCTTAGTCCTGTGATACTATTGTATTTTCTCGGGTCTCACTAACATATTTGGTTATATGATGTTCCACAGTTTCATTGAGAGGTTATTTCGCCATGCTCTGGAGGAGTCACGACCTAAATCTGTGTTGGTTAACTCGTTATCTGTGTGCATATCGTTATTAGACCCTAAGAGGCTAGCTTCAGGAACATATTACATGTACGGTCGCCAGTCAATGCAGTGCTCTGGAGCAAGTGCAAATCCTGAGACTGTGGAAGGGATGTTGGGAAGCTTAGGTATGGATTTACTGGTCGTCTTTGAACAGTGTCTATTGGTGGACAAATATTTTTGTGCATCTTCTTGAACTTCCACCTTCCCCCTTAAATAGAAAGGATTTTGACATTCTTATCTTGCACCATAGTGATTTTAGGCTCTGTTATAGTGCTTAATACATTTGACTTTTGACGTACATGATACAAGTTTTTCCAAGTTATACCATTAGTACATTTAACCCTGCAGACATCACTCTCTCCTCTTCTGTCCGTTACTAGTACACTTTAAAACAAAAAATATGTGGTGCCTTTATTTCCTCTTGAGGTTTCTGAAAGTCTCCATTTGGTAGCAAATTTTAGTCTGGATGTTGTAGGGAAGGGGAAGTCTTCTAGGGATCTTATGTTCGAGAGGGGTTACCTGCAGGTTTAAGAGATACTAGGGATGCTAGGCGGAGTGACCATCAACGCCAATGCCACAGAAAGGATGTTGTGAAAGCACAGCAAAGATGGCTTTTTCTCAGGCAACAGTGCTTACAGAAGAGGTCTCTAGGTGATGGCAGGGAGACCAAAACACCTCTGGAACTATCTTTGGAAGGGGGATATTCCTACAAAAGTGAAATGCTTCACTTGGCTAGTGATAAAGAGAGCTTGTTTAACACAAGAAGTACTTCAGAAGAAGGGTAGACAGCTGGTCCCTAGGAATTTTTTATGCAATTTGACAAGTGAAACCAACAGCCACCTCTTCTTGCACTGAAATTACACTGCTCAAATCTGGAATTTGTTCCTTAGCATCACAAATCTGAATTGGACAATGCCAGAACGTACATCAAACGTGTTGAAGAGCTGGGTAAGAAGAGGAGGTACGAAGAGCCAGAAGAGATGGTGGAGGTTAATACCATCATGTATATGGTGGTCAGTTTGGAAGGAAGGAACAGTGTATGCTTCGACAATAGATCTAATTCCATACACAAGGTCAAATGGAATTGTATAGTATATCTACTTTTTTGGTGTAAACGGTTGTGTATAGTAGATACAGATCAGATTGTAGATTTGATAGGAAGTTTTTAATTGACTCTTTTTGGTGGTGGATAGCATGCCCTTAATGCTGTAGAATACAACCTCACCAGTTTCAAAAAAAAAAAAGAAAAAAAAAAAAGAAGAAGAGAGCCTGCAACAGTTTGGTTAAATTGAAGGGTGTTGATTGGCATCAAATTTCAGTAGGTGTTGTGACTTCACTTGTAAAACAAATATGTTTTGTTTATTTTAGTGATGATTGAAGGATAGATCTCGGAGTGTGCTTTCCATGGTGAAGTGTTAATTCAGCAAAGTTGGATTCTTGGAGGAAAAACACACAAAGGAAGTCAAAGATATGCATGGTTCAATAAAAAGGCTAATTATGACCTCTTTTTCATGCGAAGTTTGGATTCTAGGTTCCCTTTATGAGTCGTGTATTATGATACACATATATACAAATATGATGCAATGAACCCAACTATATACAAATGACACACCTGTACACATATATATACATGCTATTGTGAGTTTTGTGACACTCATTATTGAAAAAAATAAGTGGTACACTGGTTCATTGCATCATACCTCAACTGTAACAATTTACATCCTAATTAATTGGAGATCCTTTCGATGTTATAATTGTTTCTCTCTGCTGCCCGTTGTATTTTGTTTTGCTTTCCGCTGGATAAGTCTGACTCTTTTTTTTGGAAGTACTGAATTTGAGATAATTCATTGTGCTATACCAGTTATCTAGGTTTCGGTATGTTTTCCATATAAATTAGATCTATAGGCTCTGATTTTAACTTGTATGTTGTGATTCAAGTGGAATAACTGTTGTCATTACTTGTTTATACAGGTAATTTACTGAAGCTTCTGGATATCTCATCAGAGGATAATGTCTTGCCAACAACATATGGGAGCTTACATCCACCTCTTGGGAAGCATCGTCTGAAGGTAGTTATCAAACATCTTCTTGTATGCAGAGATCGTAAATGCAAAGGTTGTTTATGCGGAGATTAATAATGAGGAGATCTTTATACATGAATTACTTGAACAGAATATTGTCTTTGAATAGTTTATTCCCCGTATTGCTAATACACGTATTTTCGATTCTCATTCTATCTTTAGATTCCACATGACTTTAATGTTTGTGTTAGTTAGTACTTCCAACCAAACGTTGCAGTTATGTTGTGATTATTTCTTTCTTATGAGGCTAACCAAATACTATACCATCTTTTCACCTTGAATTGGTCAAAATATGCAGACTTTCTTACTTTTCGTGGAGGATTAGAGGCGGAGTTTTATGGTTTGAGTAATTATTTCAAATCATCAAGTAAATGCTCTTCAAGCTTCTGTCTTGGAATTAGAAATGGATATAATTTAGTATCACTTTTGATCTAACTTAGAGAGGTCAGCATTGTCAAAGACGAAAAGTGCTTAACAACGTCAGGGTCTGATGAGCTTTAAGCGCAACACAATTCTTGAATACATTGTGCTGAATTTTATTTTGCAGGAAATGAAAAGTGTGTTCAAACTTTTTCTTCTTTCATTATTTGAGAGTTTTAATTGGTTTTTTTTTGTGAATAAAACACAAGTACACCCCACCCCCTTACTAAAATTGTTTTTCCTATACTTCGGCGGACTATTTTGAAGTGGAATTATTGTTCCCTCTTTTGCTGACATAGCATGGATTGATTTACTCTCTTAAAACGCATGAGAGGCATCGGGAAAACACTCTCTTGGCTTGGGAACTCAACTTTTGGTCGGCCAAGCTGTACCATTCAACTTCTACTTCACTCTATCTATCATTAAACGAGCTACATGACTCAGGTAGCTTGTCTCCAGAACCTCCACTTCCCACATCGAGCTTATCTCACTGACCTCCAATCCAACTCCTTTATCACACTAAGAGCTCCTTATTTAGCCGTAGCAAACAAACAATTAACATGTGCAGGAAACTACCCCATAACAAAATCCACTTACTTCACCTTGCAGACTTCAGTCCAAAACCACATCCTAGATCCATCTAAAGGGACCTTCTATATAGGTGCTTTCTGAAGAGATGCTTATAGCTCCAACTTAAGCTTGTTAGACTTAGTCCTAGGATTTTGCATTTGCTTTTTCAGTGAATGATCAGTTTTTTTTGCGTGTGATTTGTTGATTCGAGTGGTGAAAGTTGAGGTTTTTGTGTATAGAAAGGGAAGATGAAAGTGAAGCTAAAATAGGGAAAAAAAGGAGAAATGGGTAATGACATGGTGGCAGCACGTGTATATAAACACATTTTCTCATTTGGGTAAATAAATACTTCTTAGACCTGGAAGCATTCTAGATGTCCTAAGATGCTGGAATATGGATGGTAATGTGAGCAAGAAGGAAGAAAAATGGAAGATCGTCCCAGCATGTATTTGGTGGTCAATCTGAATTGAGAGGAACAAAAGGTGCTTTGAGGGGACTCAAAACAACATTCAGAATCTTAAAATGAATTGTTTAGGCCTTTATTATTTTTGGTGTGAGCAAAAACTACTAGCTCAAGCAGAAGATATTTGATGTTTTAAACTTTTGTAAGGCACAGAACTGAATCACAATATTTAAGTTGTAATACTTTTGAAGGGGTACTACATTATGGTTGTAGTATACCTGTGGATATATAGAAGTAAAGTTACCATTATAAAAAAAAAAGGGTGTGTGCTGTGAGATACAAGGAAGTGGGTAATTGAACCCCTCAAAATTCAACTGTGTAGTTCAGTAGTTGACAAATGAGGGGGCTAGTTTGGAGATCAATATTTAGCTTAAGCGTTAAAGTAGCGGCAAGTCCTCGTGTTTGTTGTACTTCGTTGAGTCCGTCAGTATTATATTTTTTGTAAATAAATTAATAAAGCTTTTCGAGCTCTCTTTAGACTTGTAAAAAAAGATTTTTGAGTATGTGAATAAGAGGACTATACTCTATCAGCCTTCCTTTATCAGAGATTTTTCATACTTCTTTGGTTTTTCCCTAGGCCCCTTTGCACTGTCCCTCCAAAAAAATGAATAATCATGTGATGCCCTCTGCTGTTCCATTCAATGAAACATTTACTTCATCAAAAAAAAAAAAAATCCTCCCGTCCACCTGCACTGTGTTTTAATGTTATGCTGGGTGGTAAATTAGACTTTGATTCCTCAAATTTTGATTTCGATCAACTGGGAATTTCAGATTATAGAGTTTGTTTCAGTCTTGGTGAGTGTTAGCAGTGAAGCTGCTGAAAAGGAGTTGATTCGGCTTGGTGCTGTTAAACGCATCTTAGAATTGTTTTTTGAGTAAGTGCTCTTTATAATTACTATGTTACTATATTATCAAATAACCTTCTGATTTCTGTTACTTGATAGAGTGTCTAGGTATTTGATGTCGGTTTCTTTGTTATTGAATCCAGGTATCCATACAACAACTTTTTGCATCATCATGTTGAGACTATAATAATTTCGTGCCTGGAGAGTAAGAATATTCAATTTGTTGACCATCTTCTTAGTGACTGTAATCTTCTCTTGAAAATTCTCGAGGCAGAGAAAAACTCAACGCTTGCTGCTGATCAATCCAAGGTATTAATCAAAATTTAGGTGTTTTGACTCAATATTCTTAATATTACTTGTATATTGGGCTGTATATGTTGAAACCTTTGGTCACTTAAGTTTTTAAATGTGGATGCAGCCAACGGCCTCTGTTGAGGGAAGAACCCCACCCAGGATTGGAAACATTGGGCATGTGACGCGAATAGCTAACAAACTTGTTCAACTAGGGAACAATAATAATGGCATACAGTCGCGTCTGCAGGTGTTTGAAATATCTTGTTTCATGTGTTATTTGTTCATGTAGTTCTTCCAATTTGATTACGTCCTGTTTTACTGTGCTATTCAGCTACACAAGGCACAAGGATGTTTGCACTTTGAGTAGCTGATTTTGCATTTGATAAATAGAGATTTCTTAAGGTCCATTTGGCAGTTGCTAAAGTAATGTGTTCTGCATTTTCATCAAGTGGGGCAATTAGGGGAAGTAATGAGAAGCATGACACTATTGAATAGGGATAGAGGGAGTGAGAATTTTCACAGGACACAAGTGACTTCTTTATGCATATTTCATTGGTCATCGCAGAAGTTGCTCTACTCATACTACCTGGTAGTGTAATAGATGTTCAATCAACTACTCCTCAATCCCTAACTAGTTGGGATTAATTATATGAATCCTCAATATTCATTCTGCTTTATTAGAGCCCATTTCATTCCAATATTAAGTTATGTCTTTTAAAAAAGTCACTAAATCCCACATGTACATTGTTATCTAAGTCTATATGCAGACTAATGAGTCTTATGACAAATACCAAACTTAATTAAAGTGTATCAACAATTAAACTTTATTTCAGTTAGTTGGTATTGCATATATGAATCCTTTATATGAGAGATCCTGACTCTGTGTGTATGATTTTAGGTCTACCTCCTCTTTTAGCACCTTTACTCATTATAGTGTTGCACCTAGATTGCTGTACGTATGGAGGTTCACATATGACAGTGCAAACCATCTTAGACAACTTTCTCTGTTTTTATCCTCTGCATGGTATATGCACCTTGTGGTAATTTTTTTTGTCTTTTCAATCTTGTATTGCCGCACATCCATCTTAGGATTAATATTTTTATGACATCCATCTTGTGAGACCCAATATTTGATTACATATATACAACCACTCTGTGTAAATTTCTATTGCATAACACTGTCATTGTGTTCTCATATTTCAACCATCTTGTTTTAATGGATGGGTCACATCTTGATTGTCACACCTTTTCCTAGAGACTGAATGTAGATTTACATATCATTTTTTGATAACTGAGAAATCCGTTCGTGACCCGCCATTTGGACCAATCACAGCCTTTTAAACTCGGGGAATAATGGGCCTGCCCCTCTACACTTTTCCACTTAAATACCAAGCTTCGTTTTGCGTGGTGTGGTGCAGGGCGACCTAAGCCGCAAATCCTCCACCTTTTGCCACTAGAGCTAGCCTTGGGGGCAGATTTACAAATCTGTTGCATTAGACGCTACATTCTCCTGGTAGTTTACTTGTGTTGCTAGAAGAAGCTTGACTTACTAAAAGCTCTGTGTTTGGGAAGTTGATGTTGAGGTGATTCTTTTTCTTGTTTCTCTTAGATTACCTACAAAGTTGCTCTAATACCTAATCATATTTCTTAACATAGCTTCATTTTGGCAAAATTTCATGGCTGGTAGTGGACGAATGATTTTGGCTAAATTTCATTGACCTAAAGTAAGTAGGCAGTAGTGTGTTGTCTGCTGCTAGTAATTGTTGTATTGCTCGTGTATTTTTTTGTCCCTTGATTTGTGTTACTTTTTGTTGTTTCTTGTACTTCGATCAGATTGCTTTGTTATGCTTTCACTTCTATTTATTCTTTTTCTGTACTGTGTTGGAGTACTGTTTTTCCTTGAGCGGAGGGTCTATCGGAAACAACCTCTCTACCTCTACTGTAGGGTATCCTCCCCAGACCCTACTTTGTGGGACTACAGTTAGTATGTTGTTATTTAGTACCTAATGTAAGTTTTATAACTAAAATATACCTTCAGTTTCAAAAAAACAAACAAACTAAAATATACTTAAATTCTACATTTAAATAACAGAAAGTCCAGCCCACATTTTTTTGATGTGGAAGAACAATTTCCAGTACAAAATATGTACACAAATTATCAAGAAGATCCAACTCACCTATCAACTACTTTTTAAAACCTATTTACCCATTACCTAAAATATGCGATATGCCCACATGATTATAAGTTGTATAGTGTATTACCTGTACTTATTTAGTCTATACGTACTGAGAAATTACATTGACCTCTGATGGAGTGATTTTCAATTGACCATTTGGAAAAAAATCTATATAATCATTTGGGGATAATCATCTTGGGTACCTTGAGGTTAATTTCAGAAGATGCCTTTTATTATATAGAGAATTCACCTACTCACGTCAAGTCTCTTCTATTTGATTGTTTTTCTTTAGTGCAGTCTCACTTTAGTGATTTGATATGGTCAAATTTCCTATCTGCATTAGTTTGCGAGGTTGTTAGTGATTGCCTCCGTTATGTATTCAAGTAGGAGCCCTTCACAGTTCCTTTTTATGCTTGACATTTGCAATTTTTTTTAAATGTAAATTCCTTGTCCTAAATGCAAGTTCTTTTTGGCAGGAGAATAGTGAATGGATTGATTGGCAGACAAATATTCTTCAAAAACGGAATGCTGTGGAAAATGTTTTCCAGTGGGCTTGTGGGTGAGTGCCTTATTGCCTGCTATCAATTTGTGCTGGTTATTTTTTTTTTTTTATAGTGTAGGGGGATGGGGGATTGCTTCCAAGTAAATAAACCACCTGCAGAGAAGAAGGCATGCACAAAGGATAGTGATGCAAATATGAAGATATTAGGTAGATTCATGTAGTGTCATACCGTGACTGCATTACTAGGATTATGAAATACTTGAGAACTGGAATTGAGCAGTCTTTGTTGTGGGATGTGTTGTGCATTGTTTGTTAATACAAGAGATGTATCAATCACACACTACTGCCCCCCTCCCCTTGCTACCTTCTTGTTGGAAAGGCATAACTTGATCTCTGTGAGTAACACAAATAATTTGGCTCAGCTATATTTCTCATTATTCGTTTTGCTCCAAATAATATTGTGAGGAGTCTTTGTTAATTGACTAGTTCTAGATTGGTTGTCAACCTATACACATCCACCTTTATCAGAATTCAGAAAAGGTTTGAGTTCTGCAACTTGTTTTATCCCGATTTAGGAATGGAAGTCTGAAATTCACAGACACTGAGCTGCCCAAGTTCAAAAACAGAGTTGGTTACATATTTGTTGAATTATTCAAAAACAGAAATTGAGCTGCGTAAGTTCTGGCTTCTCCTTTTGTTGGTTAACATGGATGATACTCATGATAGATCTCACTCTCACTCTCTCTCTCTCACACACACAAAAAAAAAAAAAATTAACACTTGCTAGCCATCTTGTTGAAAAGGCATTACCTGGACTCTGAATAAGGCAAATAGTAGCTGCATTGTTAGTACCTCTATTTTTATTTTGCTTGTTTTTTATTTGATACAGCAGGGGTGTGAGGCAGTGAAAACAAGGATTGTGTGTGTACTAAATTGTTGGTGTTGTTTGATTAAGAAGTGCAATGCAAAAGAATACCTTCTTTCAGGAGGCCTCAGGCAGTGGACATTTTTCTTGTTAATTACTCTCTCCATCTCAATTTATGTGGCGGTGTTTGATTGGGCACAAAGTTTAAGAAAGAATGAATTTTGAAACTTGTGGTCTTGAACAAGCCGTAGATATTTGTATCATTAAAAATCTTCTCATTAAGGGTAGAATGGGAAGTATAAAATTCATTTGTTACTCCCTCTGTCCCGATTTATGTGGCAAACTTTCCTTTTTAGCCTGTCCCAAAAGGAATGATACATATCTATATTTAGTACAATTAAACTTTTTAAAATGTCTATGTTACCCTTAGTGAGATGATTTATAGCCACACCAACATCTATGGCTTGTTTGAGACCACAAGTTTCAAAAGCCTTTCTTTCTTTCTTGCCTCACATAAATTGGGATGCAGAAAGTACGAAATATATAAAGATGTCATTCTTTTTGGAACTGACTAAAAAGGAATGAGTGTCACATAGTTTAGGAAAAAGGGAGTACCATGTTTCATGATATATAACAAATTGTGGGCCTTGAATGTCTCATTTATTCTGTAAAAAGCATTTTGAGTTTCCTAGCCGAATTCCTCTAATGATATTTACCTTACCTTACAAGAAATTCTTGCCGCGATTGAAGGAGAGAATCATGCCCAGATTTGACTGTTCCTCACTTTTGATCGTTTGTGTAAATTTTATAAAAGTACGCCATTTTTTCATTTGAGTTGGACACAACATTTTGAAGAAAATATAATCATTACATCCTTTCTAATACCAATGGTATATTTTCATCTTTTCATTGGATTGATCATGATTGTAGTTTGTTAGTCTTTATACCAGCATAATATTGACTTTTATTTCATGTAACCTCTCTCAGGAGACCCACATCACTGCATGACCGAATGAGGGACAGTGATGATGATGATTATCAAGATAGAGACTATGATGTTGCAGCTCTGGCAAATAACTTAAGCCAGGCCTTCCGCTATGGAATCTATAACAACGATGAACTTGATGAGGTGTTCTTCATATCCCTTAACAAAAGACAACATGATTGTGCATTTCTTGATCTCTCTCTATCTTTTAGCATTTAATAGTGCTGGCTAGGTTCCTGTGTTTATATCTGGAGAAGGTAATGACAGAAGGTTTGGAACATTGATAGGTAGTTGGAGAATTTATCTTTCTTATATTTAGAGTAGTTCTTTCTTAGAGCTGCATGCTATGTATAATCTTTAGAGATGAAGTAAAATGAGCACAGTAAATGTGCTTTTTGATTCATATTAAGTGCCCACACCTTTTTGCATATCTAATTATTTATAATTGAATTTGAAGTGTGGTTTTGATTTTTATCTGCAAGTCCCAATCACAGGAATGTTGTTCAGAATCGGTGGTTGAATTTTTGACTGTAAAAAGCCTCTGCTGAAAATGGTATAAGATCCATAATTCAATATAGATGTAGCAGGGTTAGACAGAGGGTCCGGGAATCTGTGCCAGCCTCTTGTAACTGTTATATGGTCATGGTATAACAGCCTAGATGTAGTAGGTTAAGACAGAAACCAGTGAGAGCTAGAATGAATTTTATTCTGTTAATAGCATCTTCCTAATTCTGTCATAATTAGGAATGTTGGTATTTAGTGATCTTCCTTATTAAATGACTTTCATTTTAAGTTTAAAGAAACCTTATCTCAAGTAGCCTAAACTATGGAGCACTCTGTAGATTGTCTGCAAGCAATTCAATACAAGTTATATCTTAAAGTGCCAAAACAATGGATGCTTGATTTTGCTTTTTTTTTTTCCTTTCCTGGTTTTTCTTGTTTTGAACCTTTTTTTGTTCAACTTCATCTTTAATCTTCACATATCAATTTTTTAAGCACATGGTCATTAAGTGTATAATCATTAAAAATGTACTAAAGGAAGACTTTATCTGCGTGCAGGCTCGTGGTTCACTTGAGCGGGATGATGAGGTAACTGTTGAGGTTTTATTTAGTCCTTCAGTGATTACTTAGTTAATGAGATATACGAACTGTCTGCTACCGTACTTCTATATGCTGTTTCTGCATATGCTCTAGTGAGAGGGTACAGGGCGTACTTTCTCTCCCTCACCTCCACTTTTCATTCACAGCCATGAAGTGCGTCTTCATATAGCGGGAAGATATTTAGAGGAGGTGCAACTAATTTGTTACTAAGGCATAGTCAATTGTATTGATTGATTGATATCATTCTTCATAATGATGATCATTAGAGAAAGTTGAGTCGATTTGTAAGGCAGACCACCTCTGTTCCACCTTCAATACTGATCATCCCTTTAATTCAATGTGGCTGACAGGAACTTCTTTTTGGTCATTAGCAATACTTCCAACAACTCCCTCCGTCCGGATCTTGTCACATTTCCTTTTTCGAGGGTCAAACTTCATAAACCTTATCCAACATTCTAAGATGTATTTTCCACCGTATTGATATTAGAAAAAATGCAACTTATAGTACTTTTCATATAGTTTATGAATCGATAAGTTTTACTCTTAAAATATTAAATTAATCTAATTCAATTTAGCTCCGAAGATTAGTCACTCTAGAAAACGATACTTGACAAGTACTTTGGGACAGAGGGAGTAGTTCTGAAGTCACCTATTAGCTTATCAAAATACCCACATTGCCCTTAGCTTTTGATTGCTTTAAAGCCAGTTAGTTATCTGTGCATATTTAGTTTATTATTTTATTAATTAAATAAACATGTCATTTGTGATGGAAGAATGAAGCGATATAATATTGCATGTAGGAATATCTAACGGAATTTTCTTGCTAGCTGTATGTCCACCTTGTCATATCTTATAATATATATATCTCAAAGAAGTAGGCTCTACAAATGACTTTAAAGTTTAAAGGGTAATCTCATACAAACTGTTATACCCTTTAACCTTGAGTTTGGAGCATTTATAGATATCTTGTTAAAATTCTCATAGAGGGTATGTATAACAGTTCTGAGATAATGGTCGATTTTATAACTCACTTGTGTGCTTTCTCCTTAAGAAATTTCAAAAGCATTTTTCCAACTTAATTTTTTCTTTTGGAAATCCTCCTATTTAGTATTAATTATGTTGTCATGACCAATGTCACTAAGGCTCACATGGAAAAACCCTCTTAAGCCTAAAGCTTGGTGAAGCGCAGGTTGGGTGTTTTGGCTAAGCTTAGATGACCTTTTAGTGCAGTCACCAAGGTTCTAGGACCTATGCTTTATCACCATGGCTCTGGCTTTAGGAGGACCATACTAGAAAGTAAATATAGTTCGTGAAGTAGTAGATTGATTGCTAATAGAACATTATGAATGGAGTTCGAGTGATTACAACTAGAAATTAGTAAAATTTGGTATAAATACCTAGTCACTAAAACTTGGCACTGCATCCCTACATCTAAATCAGAACTTCAAATTTATGTTTGAACTCAGTGACATGATTTTTGCTTCATATATTTAATTTTAATCTTTCAATTCCTTAATCCAGATAATTGGTGTGTTTACATTTATTTTTTCTTCATTAGTGCTCTCTTCTCTGGACCTATTTGTGCTTTGCGCTCAAGTCTTAGTAGTCATGACGTTGCTTTACGCTTTTTGCCTGTGGCGATGCACAACTTGTGCCTCTTCAGGCAACTCATTTACACTAACTCTTCTGATTTTCTGTAGGATGTCTATTTTGATGATGAGTCTGCTGAAGTTGTGATATCTTCACTACGTCTGGGGGACGATCAGGAAAGGTGGGTAAAAGACAGTGTTCAAAATGCTTTGTGTCTGTCGCAGTATTATTAGTAACAATGATGTTACCTATAATTGTTTTTTCAGTGGATCACTTTTTACAAATTCCAACTGGTTTGCTTTTGAGGATGACAAAGAGATTCGTGAACAGTACACTGCTTTGGTTGCTTCTCCTTCACCTGACACAGAAGAAACTAATATTATTAGGCCCAGCACAAATGATGATGCAGCTGCTGATGAAGATGATGATTTGGCAGACACTGCCTCATCTGATCAACCTGAGCCAAAACAAAGTTCTGATCATCCTGCACCCTCTAGTTTGTCTGAGGACTTGCATCGTGCTACAAGTAATGAAACCATTAAGCCTCCTGAATGGGTTGAATGGCGAGAAAACTCTAATACAATTGCAACATCCAATCAAACCTCGGATTCAGCTGGTGTTGCTGATGTGGTCGGGCCTCCTTTACCTAATGGCGACGTCAAAAAGGAATCAGAAGCTCCAAAGGATACTACTCGGTCAAAAGAAGAAAATGCTCATATTCCACCCACTAATGTGTGCACCAGTAATGTGAAAGAAGGATCATCAGGTGATACCTCACAGCCTCCAGAATCAGGTGGCAGCCAAAGCGCTAGCAATGCTAGTTCAAGTAGTGTGGAGAAGCCCCCTGCTGGAACGGTGGGATCATCTAGTGGAGAAACCAAAAAGTGAAGTGTGGAACCACTGTGAATTCTCGAGGTGCAGTTGCGGGAGAAAAAACCTGGCACTTTTGCTATTGGTCTGGTGCACTGATGAGAGTCTCAGCGCTTGCTATCGGCTGGGACTAATATGTGGTTTTGGAGCCTGATGTATATTACTGGGCTTAAAAGTCGATTTAGCCACAGATGATTCTTTCCTCAACTCATAGGTAAAGAATGCTCTCTCTTTCCTCTCACTTATTAAAGGCCTTTAGTGCAGGTGATTCAGTAGATCATACTTTTATTACTAACACACAACTGCCTCTAGATGTGTCCAAACTGCCAAAGGGAGTTGTGTTGCTGTACACATTGAAAGGATCTTCGTTTTATATCATCTCATATTTTGTCATTTTTCTACGTCTTGATCCACTCTCATCGCCAAATTTACTGGACCATGTTTGGTGAAGTATAGACCTAATCGTCAACCAGGTTATGTTCGACACTTGCACACAGCATTACGGTGCAGGTTCCCAGTTAATAAGATGTTGAGATCGATTCAGTAGTTCCCACCGTACTTTTCCCATAAAAAAATTTGATGTCAATATAATTTAAAGCCTTTTTTGGCTTCTCTTCATGACTTGTGTTAATTTGTTCTCAATTTTCAAGTCGATTTGTGTGTTTCATATGCAAACTTATGGTAGTCCAAAACAAAATAAAATGTACCATTTGATAGTTTTCACAACTTTGAGATGTAAACGCATTCTCGTCTTGACATACACAAGGCTATAGGATAGTTTTAAACAAATAAACTTTGGTGCGCTTAAACAATTGAATGGGATGCATTTTAAACAAATATATAGCATTGATTATGTAATTTGGTGTATCCTAACCATCTATTTTTTATGTTCACACAATTTATCACTCGCTTTATGGTAAAATACTTTTCGATGTTGAGTTGGCCTGCACATGCATGTTGTTGAGTGATTCTTTTCATAAAAAGATTCATGTGTTTATCTTGATGGATAGAGTTATGTGATACTTGATACATATTAGATGTTATTGAAATTAATCGAGGCATGTGAAAGTTGACATCGCCACTATGATTATAAAAAAAGAAAACAGAAAATGATATGCGACTAACTCAGAGTTTATATGCCTTTTAATACAAAAGAATAGGTTACATTAGGTAAAAGAAGCAATCATTAGTTACATATGGAACTTGCAAAAAAGTCATAATTTAAAGAGCAAAAAAATATAAATTTCACTAATTTAGGGTATAATTATGATTTATGTGTGTATTGCTTAGTTTTTGAAATTATTTTCCATACCATATTCACTTAGATTCGCGGATCAAATTAGATGTAATTTATTTTTTAATATATCGTATTTAAGTGTGATTAGCACGCACATATGGAATACATTGATTCTCTCTTGTCTCTCCCCCTGTGTATCTGATTTTCAAAATGTATTTGTCTAATATCAAAAGATACACGTAACATTCACCCGCCGTCGTTCTCTTTTTATATATTTATATTTTAGAACGTATTTATTGTCAAAAAATATATGTGTTTAACATATATGTATTTAATTTGACAGTGAAATGAGTGATATATTTGACTTGAAAATTAGTACAAAATTATTAATTAATGCGATATTATGTAATTTTTTGAACTATGGAGTGGATTAATATTATGATAGGAATATTTCTATTATTCCTAATATTATTATGTTTTTGATTGCAAACTAACTAAAGAAGAAAAACATTTAGGACCAAAGCAGTAAAATACATATTAAAATCTCAACTTCCGTCCAACTTCATTTGGTCAATTTAGAATCTCCGATCGCTTTCCGTTACAATGCTCGGCGGCTTATACGGCGATCTCCCTCCGCCGTCGTCCTCCGGCGACGATGACAAGCCAACCAACGCCACCACAGCTAATGTGTGGTCCAGCAGTGCTAAGATGGCTCCTTCAGCCCTTCGCAAACCCTTCGCCCCACCCCAAACACTTCTTCGACCTCAGCCGAAGCCCAAACCGCAGCCTTCAGCAGCTCCAAAACCTAATCCATCGATCCCTCTTGACGAGAACACTAATCCAAATCCCACCTTTGCAACGACGTCGTTTCAACCAGCCCTGGTGGCTGTTACCAGCAGTGTATTAGAAGAATACGACCCGGCTCGGCCGAATGATTACGAAGATTATCGGAGGGAGAAGAAGAGGAAGCAAATGGAGGCTGAGGTGCGGAGAGAGTTGGAAGAAAGAGAGAGAAAGGAGAGGGAGCGAGAGAGGGAGGAAAAGGAGAAGAGAGAAAAAGAGAGAGAATTGAATATTTCAGGTGAGGAGGCATGGAGGCGGAGGGCGGCAATGAGTGGAGGTGGTGGAGGAGGAGGCAGTGCTCCCCCACGCTCGCCTTCGCCACCATCAGGGAATGAGTTTAGTATTGGGAGGTCAGAGAGTGGGGGTTTGGGATTGGGAGCGGAAGGAAAGATGACAGCTGCACAAAGGATGATGGCTAAGATGGGTTGGAAGGAGGGTCAGGGACTTGGAAAGCTGGAGCAGGGAATTACGACTCCATTGATGGCTAAGAAGACTGATAAGAGAGGTGGGGTTATAGTGGCTAGTGAAGCAAAGCAGCAGCAGCAACAGCAGCAGCAACAACAACAACAACAACAGGCACCTGAAAAGAAGGTTAAGAGTGTCAATTTCAATATGCCTCCAACAAGGGTCGTGCTGCTTAGGAATATGGTATGGATTGTTAAGATATTCTGTCAACTTATTTATTTGTTCTGCTTGCTTGGGGAGTTCTACTCTATGAGCTTGTTTAGCTGCATAAATTATGATGATTTCTTGCTAGAATAGTATCTTTCATATAGTTAAGTCGCTCAGGAATATGATATGGATTTTTATGATGTTCTATTGACTTACTTATTTGCTCTGTTTGATTTGGGATTTTTATTATATGAGCTTTTTTAGCTGTACAAATTATGATGGTTTCTTGCTAGAATAGTTTCTTTCATATGAGTTAATTTGGTTTCAGTCGTTTGAACTTTGGCTTAGTCTTACACTTAGTGCAAGTAGTTTCCAGGGGCTCAGCTGTGTTTTGAATCAGAGTTGTTTACGCTGAGGAAATTTGAAGTAGAAAAACTTTCGTCCTTTAGTGATTTCTGACCAACACACCCGTCAATTTGCTTTTATTTTTGGCCCGTAAAAGTGAAGTGCTCAGCCATGCCATTGAGAATAGTCTTTTAAATTTGGCTTCCACCTAATAAAATTGTTCACCTCATTGAGAAAAAGAAGAATTTGGCTTCCACCTTAATCTATCTTAGTAGCTTAGTTGTTTGACTACCTGAACTTTCACCTTGTTGGTGAGGGTTGGATTCCCCACCTTGTAATCCCCTTCCTCATTTCCCCTTTCCCTACCCCATTTTTTATTTTCCATTTTTTAAAAAAAAGCTATCTTTCTAATATAGCAGAGAAGAGAATTACCATTCTGCCTTTGTTATCAGAAACAAGTTTCTGATTGGTTATCTATATGAGCTCATTTAAGGTCAAATATTTGGTAGTGAGTGTTTCTGATTGTTTATTTATTAGATGATGGGTGTTAAGACTGTTAACGTTTCATTGTTGAATTTGTGTTTCTAGAGGCAGTCATGTAGTTTAATCATGTGAAAAGGTATTATGTATAATTGGCTATTGAATTGTTCATTCTTCTGACATTTGTTAGGTCTTGAGAGACAGTGTGCTACTCGTATACTTTGACAAGTTATTTAATTGTGGTAGCTAATGTACTAAGATTCACTCACAAATCCTTTTTCTTTATAAGGTTCACTGACTGGTCTTTATATAGTATACTGAACCTGTTCAACAGATTTATCTATGTGAACTTTTTAACCTTTTATTATGCGATCTATAGGTTCTTTTTTAAAAAAGGATAAAGGACCAATTAGTCTTAACCCTTATGTTTTATTTCATTAATTTGTGCCTACCAAACTATTTTGGGGTCTAACAATAAGTACTACTGGTTTCTAAGGAAAATGAGAACTATTGAGTATTAGTATAATTTTTTATCAATCTTTAATGATTGCCTGATAAGTTAAATACTAAAGTAGCTAATTAGAACATTATCCACTTCTGTCTATCATTTTCTGTTGGCATTGGCTACTTAAAACATCTCCTCAGAAATTTGTCTGTGCATTTGCTGACTGCTTTCACATTACACTAAGGGGAATCAACTTTCTCTAGATATAGGGGAAAAAAAGTACCTCTTTTCCCCTTTAAGGTCTCGTGTGCTGGTGATTACCAATATCTTCATAAATGAGGGTACAACCCTTGATTAGCTTCTATTCTTGTGATTCTAAGTATTTCTCCACTCACTCTAGGGTTTGTAATATGGTTAATTGCTCTGCTCAGCGGGGAAGTCACTTTTAGTGAATGAACCAAGGGGTTAGCTTTTACTCAAACTTCTCTAGCTTGTATGGGTCTTTGGACAAGGATATACACGCATAGATACCTTTGGATTATAGATGGTATTACAATGCGGAGGAAGTAGAGATTCATTTAGGAAGGATTGTAATGCTGGTTCATGGTGAATTTGGTTGCAGTTAAAGTGAACTATATCTGAAGAATTGTTGATGGATTGGATATATGTATTCTTTGTTTGATTAATGAGGTTTAAGTTGTATAAAGCTATGAAATACAACTTTAAAGTAATTCGACCAAATTTAGTTAAAGAATTATTTGGAATGATGGGAAGATGGACTAGGGTGGTGGAGCGCATGCTTTATGGTGAACTGGCAATAAGGTGGAGGTTTGGAACTAAGAGCGCATTAGGTTACACATCATTTGGAATTAAATGTTTCGCTTATAAGAGAGTTAATGGCAGACTGCTGCATTGCTTTGTGTGTGTATTATATTCTTTTCTGGATCTCCTGGTTTTTACTGAAACATTTTGGATCAAATATAGTTTTGCCATTAATGAAAAGTGGGGCTTGCATGAGGTTACACTTTTCCAAGAGCTTCACATCTGCAATATTGAACTCTTTCCTGTAGTGAATGGCTTTGTGGGGGGGGGGGGGGGGGGTGTCCAAGTTATAGAGTAGACCCAAAAACAACATATGAGGTAAGATGTACGCAGACCTTACCCTACCTTTGTGGAGTAGAGATGTTTCCGATAGACCCTCTGCCAAAAAAAGAGAAGTTATTCAGTGAAGGGAACTGATGCACCATCTGTAGGGATATAATACACGAACAAATCTTTTAACGCGTTTTTTTTTATGATCTGACCTATCTTTTGTTCCTATTTTCCTTCTTTTGAAGGTTGGTCCTGGCGAGGTTGATGATGACCTAGAAGGTGAGGTGGCTGAAGAGTGCTCTAAGTTTGGTACTGTAACTCGTGTCTTAATATTTGAGATTACAGAAACAAATTTCCCTCATGAAGAAGCTGTTCGGATATTCGTTCAATTTGAGAGAGCAGAACACGCAACTAAAGCCCTTATAGAACTTGAAGGTCGATTTTTTGGCGGTAGGATTGTTCATGCCTGTTTCTACGACGAGGAGAGGTTTGGCAATAACGAATTAGCTCCCATGCCAGGAGAAATTCCTGGCTTTTGACCAAACAGTTATTGTCCAAATGTAA